CAAATAAAAAAAAAAAACAAAACAATACAAAAATACAAAAATATATAGCTTTAAGAGGGTTAGGCCTACCCTAAAATTAAGGAACGCTCGAACTCGACACGTGATATCGAAATGGGCGAAATCGCCTCTTAATATCACTAACTATCTTGAATCTTGAATCGTCCTGAAAAAAATAGTTTTTGTGCACTATTCTCAACTACTGTAGCTCAGTGCTTCCTTAGGACTTGTCGATGATAGAGTCCGCTTCAACCCTCTTCCTCAAAATCATCCAACTTTGATGTATGGACGGCCATGAATTATTTTTCCTTTTCTCATCTATATGCGCGATGAAGAAAATTTGAATTGAATCCTGGCTTGTGTTAAAATTTTCACTATTAAGACTTCATAAATTTTCCCCTCCATTCCAGTCATTCCTTTTCTCTCATCTTTTTAATCACCCCTACGAGACACAACTGTGTAAGAACGTAGAGTCCATAAAGGAGAAACGGTCAAAAGGAGCAACGGAGGCCTGTTCCTCGCATCTGCTAAACTGAAACGGAATATAAACTTAATCTAAATTTTACCTGAAAGCATGTAAAAAGCAGTCAAGGGCGTCTGTTGTTCCTCACCTCAGTGCAGAATTAACGGATGTATATACTAGGTAGGGGGAAGGGGGCTGGTGGGGATAAAACCGGAATTGCCCATCAGAACAGGAAGAGGAGACATCCATGAACTGCGGTGCAACCTTAAGGGCGAGATCAGGGATTTTACACCCCTTCTTGAGACTTCACCCCTACTATCCCCTGCCGCTTGGGGGGTTAGCACAGAACATGCTTAACCCAGAGTCCCCAAATTCGTTAATTTGGTCCTGCCTCGCCTACCTTAGATCTAAATCTAAACCAAGTCTGCAGGTTCATCCACGTCAACTGCATCACAGCCACTAGTAAGAAAAATATATGCTGGCAAGAGAGTTTCAATTCCTTTGTGTGGGCTCATGCTGATGCAAGATTGAAGTTTTGATAACCGGCTCCTGGTAAACTGTGACGACACATTCCCCACCCCCCAGACACGGTGACATGGGAGGACCAGAGACAAAGTATCGACTACGCATTCTTACTCTCACTTCTTTGCAGTGAAAATTAGGTAGCCATCAGAAAGAAACCATAAGGATTGAAGCGAAAATCATCCAGAACCTACATCATAGCTCATATTACATGAATATTCTCTGCCGTATGTATGCACTGATTTTGGACTCAGATGCTCGCACAAACATTAATCAGAGTTCTTCTCCTTTATCCCAGCATTCAGACGGCATTTAGACTGGGTCAGACCAGTTTAAAAATATTATCCTTTTCATAGGAATTTTTGGTACGAGTCTGGTCGAGGAACAGGCTTATTGCTTATAGACAGCTTATAGATTAAATTCAATTTAGATTTAGATTAAGTGTAGCATAGGCGGAAGGCAGATCGTGGCTACTTTTTACGATGTGTTCAGATCAAGTTTAGATTTAGGGTGAAATGCACCAGATCTGTTTAACTTCTACTAAGCTGATTTCACAATAGTGCCCTATGGCAGGAGTCGGGAACCTTTTTGGCCGTGTGAGCCATTTTAAGATTGAGTTAAGTGCTTGTGAGCAAAATATTTTCAAAACAACAGAATTTTTCCTGAGGTTGACAATAGAAATATGCATTCTTTGATACATGAGAAAAATGAGGAACAACCATGATTTTCAGTCATGACTCAATGAGCCAAACTTTTCGGCTTGTGAGCCAAATTTAGCTCATGAGTCATAGGTTCCCGACCCCTGCCCTATGGGAATCGATTTGATAATCTTATTCACATAGACGCCCATTATGAAACCAGATCGATTTCAAGTTAAACGGATCTGGTGCATGTCACCCATAGATTAAGTTTAAAATAAGTTTAGATTTAGTTTAAGCTTTTTAGAGGTGAGGAACAGGTCCCAGCAATCATTATCAAACATCAACAACGCATTAAGGGCATTCAATCGTTAGTGGAGGAAGATGAGGATTGCAAGCACGCATTATTACTTCAGAGACAGTAAACTTCGACTGACGGATTAGAGGCACATTAACCAACTACTTCTATACTTGTAAAGAATCAGATAGGGGGAGGATTGATAGACAATGGATATTCCAGAATGCCAATTCAGTCTCGGTTTGGGTCCACTCCTTGTCAGGTGTCGGTCCGGAATCTGCTAGACAAAGAAAACCCTCCTGAAATCGAAAGTGAACCTGAGGATCCGAATCCAAATCAATATGGTTTCTTGAAACCAAACCCAATGCTGTGTCGGTTTAGGCTAACCTGGCAATAGGTGGCTATTTTCCTAATAAGACGCTGACGAGTGACGACCCACTCCTCTTCTTATACGTAACAACACAGCGAAAACGGCGAAACCTCGCCGTTTAGTTACTGAATTTCAGAGGGTGGCTGTGCGTATCATGCAGCAAATGTTGGGGTTGACATGTTCAAGGGATCCTGAAGGGTGAGCACTTTAAGCGAGAACCCTTGAAACCAGTAATAACTTTGGGTAGGGAAGAGCTGGGAGCATGAAAATTGGTAGTAACATACTTTGTAGTCTGGAAATTGCCGCCACCTATGACCAGCAGCAGGCAACACAACGCATGCGCAATACCACACTGCAGTACACAAACATGGCGTTTAATGCTCAGGAACGTTTGTTCATTGTGGAACGTTAATTGAAAACTGAATCGTTAAAAAAAAGCGCAAAATGGTTTTTTCACGCGACTTGGAAGTCGTAAAGCACCAGCAAAATCAGTAGTCTGGAAGCTTGTGAAAATGTTCAGGGAAACTGGGAACCTGAATGTTCCAAAGCGTGTTCGCATGGGGAGATGTTGGGGGGGTGCACCATTTCGAAAGGACTGTGGCCACCACGCTCACCGGATCTGTCGCCTTTGATTTTCTTCCTATGGGGCTAAGTGAAGAACAATGCCTACAACAATAATCCACACAGTTTGGATGAATTGAAAAACATCTCGCAACTCATTGCCAACATCCCACCCACCACATTACAGGCAGTGTCTTCCAGCATGCTCCGACGTGCACAGTTGTGTATCCTAAATGACGGTGGTCAATTTCAACACCTTTCGTAATAAACCAATACTCGGTACGTCTTTCCGGACAACAAAGTACGTCACTACCAATTTTCATGCTCCCAGCTCTTGCTTACCCAATATTATTAAATATTTTCATGGGTTTTCACTTAAAACGCTCACCCTGTATAAGGAATGGCTAGCGTTAGTGTTAGTGAGCAGGAAATTACCACTTCATTATTTTCATGTTCTTGCAGAACATGAAGAGCAGGCGGAATTCATAATGCTCCCTCACTTAAAATTCGTGTCGGCATGCAATATTTCATTGAAAAAAGCGGTGAAAAGTTAGGTGAGGCGTAAGATATTCTGTATCGGTTTCACCATCTCTGCGGAAACGTATTCGAAAGATTGGAAGCACCGTTCTTCGGGTTCCCGCAGAATTGAGGACTGTAAGAGAAGATGCCATCGGCATGGATATTCATCCCTGTTGATTATCTGCTTGCGACATCTATGCCAGATACGAAAGTTGAATTCCTGAACATTGCATCACAGAAAATACTCTGCATCTGACTCTCATCAAATTTTGAAGATCAACTACGTAAATAATCAGTCGAGGAGTTTATGTCGACCAGAACATGACCTAACCGGAACTGTAACTGAAACTGAGGCCGAAACTGAGACTGAAACGGAATTGTAACTCTTAGTCGCTCAAGTTCGCGTGGTATTCCTGACACATAGGAACGAACAACTACTTGCATTGGTATTTTTACTACCCCACCCCCCCACCCCCCCTTTCTTTCCTGCCTGTTATCACAATTATTTTTTGGGTTTCGCGTGGAAGCGGGTTCACGATGGAGCTGGGGGCAGCATTCACAGTCCTGGTAGCGTCTAAGGTGGGTCTCCCCATCAGTACAACGCATTGCCTCGTCGGCTCCGTCGTCTGCGTCGGCAAAGTCAGGGATCCTCAACGGGGAATCCAATGGGGTCTCCTCCGGTCTGTCCCTCCCTTCTCTCACGCACACATTCACCGACTAGCAGTGATCGCGACGGGACGAATTTCATTTCTCATGCAGGAACATCGTGATTGCGTGGTTCGTTACGCTGCCTGCATCTGCAGGTGTGAGTGCTCTCATCATGTTCATTCTCCTCAACGTCTCCCCCTGAACTCACCTTCATTGCATCATTCCAGCTCATCACCCCTCTTCATCTCCGGCACTTTTTATTATTGTCGACGTGTGTTATACTTGTTTTCTTTTTTTAAATGAAAGACCACACTTCAGGATAGACAGAACTTAAAACACTTCATTCAAACGACAAGGTGAAAGAGCTTACAATTCATGAATGGGCTTCTTGATTGGCTTCACTGAGAATGAAGTTGACATGAGGAAGAACTCGCGGACGGATCCTGAGGGACTCAAAGTGGTTCCCGGCGTTCGTATCCCCGCTTGTCTCATTGGCCAGACTGCTGAGATCCGTGGATGCCGTGGTTACTGGACCTAAAACATAGGAAGGGGAAAAGATGAATTCACGCCGAATTAGCGGATGTGTGTGTACCACACATACCATTTCATGCAATACTTGGAAGTTAAGAGGGAAAGGAGAACCGTCGACGAATATACGAGGGTTGTTCGAAAAGTAACTTTATAAGGGTTCAAACACCAAGATTGTCGTTGGCATATAGGTGATGGCTTTTGAATTCGATAAACGGTAAGCATGGATGACTTAACATCCATTATGAGGCACTTTTATCTTCCACTGCAGCTGCCCGGATGCATAAAACCGTAGCCCGTCGCATCGCGAAACTTGCCTCTCCACTTTGGTGAGAGGTTCCATCCATCCACCTCTGCTCAACAGCATTCAGGAATACTTCCCCACCATAATTGGAATTAATAGCCAGGAATACTTCGGCATCCATCCTCTCCGATTCGGTCGCGACTTGTATTCTGTCTTCTGTTTTCTCCTCCCAGCAAGAAAATTCCTGATCTTGCTCTCATGATTTCCCCACCCAAGACAAGGCACCGATTTCTACGAATTCAGTTTTCTTCAGTATGGTCAGAGCCAAACTGTAATACAAGACACCTTTCCTTCATAGATACGGAACATCCTCTCGGAATTTGTTCGAAAACTCGAAAAGGAGCACCTTTCTTCTGCACTGTATCCAGGGGTCCAGCAATGACAACTCATCAATGACGCCTCCTTCCAGAAATAAAAAAAAAGAGTCAACCCTTCTCTTCACATCTCATTCAACATCTGACCCCTTGTCGATAGCAATCGATCAATCATTCAGTTCCGTTCTCCTTACCCCCAAGCCAAGAATTTTGGATCGCCTAGAAAGCACAGGGTGTCCAAGTAAAGACGCCTATTTTGTGGTGTGCAATAATCACACATAATTGAAAGTTGTTATTATTTTGCAGATAAGGTTGGAAGTTTTTTAAACTGTAATCCTGATTCAGACCCTTTCGTAGAATTAGATTAGCCGAGGATCTTGACATTTCATGGAACTCTGGGTCATTGAGATTTTCTTTTCAGATTCAAAGACAGATTTACGAAAGATATAGAGATATTGTTGACGGTATACCTGAAAAAGCTCGGCAATGTCTTTAAATTTTCGTGTTCAAAATAAGTTAAATTTCAATGCAATTTTAAATACCATAACGTTTTTAAAATGCACATATGTTTTTCCCAAGCCGTGTCCAAACCATCGTATCAAATATATGTTTTCCTGCTCGAACATGATCGAGGTGGAGTTAAGCGCTTGATGGTGAATGAGGTCTTGAGATGGTCGAGGAAAAAAATTTCTCAACGATCAGGATTTCAGAAAAACACGATCAAACTTATATGGCTCGAAAGAGCTTTGATAGATCTATCATTCTATGCCACAAGCAAAACTGTACTTGGAATCAAAGAAAGTTATTAAAGGTCAAAGTTGAACGAATATGGCAAAATGTGCAACTTTATGAACACTTATCAGAATTTTGAAGCGACTTAAAAACAAAATAAATGTATCTTTGGATGAATCTCATAGAGAATGATAGACACCCCAAAGCTAGTAGAGTTATACGCATTTTTACTGTGAATTTTTTTAAGTTGAAAATTTGATTATTTCATTGAATTAATAAAGCTGTAACTTTTTCCCATTTAAGGCACGGAAGAACCCGTACAGAAAGTTAAAGATGCCTGGCTACTTGCTTTAAAATGAGTTATTCATATTTCTAGCTGAAGTATAGTTCGGGAGATATTGCATTTGTTTGAGGGGTCATTTTATCCTTTCCTCTCATATTTTCAAAAGGCATATCTCAAAGATCGTTGGATCTAGACAGTTGAAATTTCTGATTTATCCGTTTCTCTTAACTCCCAGTACGCATGATTTTTAACAACAAAATCTTAGTCGGTGCAGCAACCAACCTAGCGATAAAACGATAAAATCTAAGTAGCGATACTGCAAGAAGACGATACGATATTTTCTCAAGACAAATATCGTGTAGACATCTCACGACTATTCGAATGAATGCCTTCACCTGTGAAAGGAGTATGCTGGGAACCCCTATGGAAGCGCGTCCAATCGCGTTCATCGACGTCATGGGTGTCATTAAATTGATCTCGACAAGTAGAATAAGAACTTTGATGGGCTCGATTCAAGCGGTGCTCAATGCTAAGAGTTTTATACCAAAAACTATTTATGCTCAGACATACGTAGTATGTCTCGATATTTATTTAAAAGACCATCCAGCAAAGGGTCTCTTGGCGATATTTAGGAAACACCACACCACCACGTGGAGGGAGGTGGGCCCTGGACCTTTTTGCTTCCCATCAGCTGATGTGGATTCTTTCTTGAGAGTTCCCAGCTCTTACCATGGATGAATCACTATGGCGGTGATTTAGGCACTATCTCACTTTTGTAGGCACTATCTCACCTTTCATTCATTTTACAGCAGTTTTTTTTCCATCTGTAAGTCTTGCCCTCGCACAACGATTGGGTCGAGCTCATGAACACCTCTATTTTAAAGTCGAGATCTATTGAATGGTACTCATGACGTTAGTGGGAGCGGTTGAACCCATCTGAGCATAGTCCATTGTCACGAACCCAACACATCCAAAAGAATAACATTTGCGTGAGCCCGGCGAGCCGCGAACTACTAGTAGTGGACGATGATGCAACTCCAGGCATTTTTCCGCCAAGGAAGACGCAATCACGACACTAGCGCGGTGAGATTTTAATTCTCACTCATTGCCACATGAACAAACAATACACAAACATACAGACAATAGTCTGTTGGTAAGACCCCACGTTGAACCGGCTCGTAGCGTTATAGATACGTTACTCGCATCGCATGACGTTAAGGTATCCGGAGAAACATCTGATACAACATGAATTTACAGAATCACGAGAAGGTAACGAGGCATTCGAGAGCCTCATCAGCTTTTCCCAGGATTAGATGGAAATGAAAAAAGATTCATTATGTCTTTGGCATTTGTGACGATCTCTTCTGCAGTGACATGAATGAACTCTGAACCATACATTTGGTACTCCTCCGAGTCTGCCGACACAGAATCGAATGATGAGGGGAGAGGAGAGAGAGAGAGAGAGAGAGAGAGAGACTCACTGAGACTGCGGATGCTGGTGCAGGAGGAAATTTTTCTCTTCAGTCCTGGCATGGTATCCTTCTGATAAGCAGGTTCACTCCGCTCCACTCGATCCAACCCTAAGTCCAGCTCATGATAGAAGCTTTCTGAACGTCCGATACAACGACAAAAGAAGTCTGGATGGGACCCCACCTTTGGTTTCGACGGCGGGATCTATGCGAAGGAGCTGGAAATGATGCAAGACGAAGAAGAGGAGACCTCCAAGGGCAGCTGACCATGACGTCATCGCGAAAAAACTCACAATGTTCCAAAACAGGACCTACACGAACGAAACGGACGCGAACGTCGATCGGTGACGAACGGCGAGAGCGATGAGAGATGGATGGATGGACTCACGTCGGGTTGTCCGGATGTGAAAAGCCCTTTGGAGCTGAACAGTCCGGAGGCGATGAGACCCCAGAAACCCCCGCCAAGGTGAACTGCTACCACATCCAGGGGGTCGTCCACTGAAAAATGAGAAACTTCCTCCATTTCCCTCTGGTTTAGTCGATGGTTTGCGGAGCGATCGACGATCGATCGTGCGCGATTCGTGCACGACTCGCGTACCTTTCAGTCGAAGGATCAAGAAGTGGAGCATGACGTAAAGAATGCCGGAGACGGTCCCGACGGTGACGGCAGCCCACGAGGGCATCGACTCGCATGCACCTGCCACGGAAACCTTCCGACAGATCCAAAATTTCCCTTCGTTTACTCAACTTTTACGGCATGTACAGCTAAAGTTGGAGTGACCGACCGTGGCCGTGAGGGCACCGTTGAGGGAGACGATGAAACTCCAGGAACAGACAGGGACCAATCGACTCAATACACCCGACCTGGATGCAACACGAGCAAACCTCCTTTAGGCGGCTATATCATTTAAAGCAAGTTGGTACGGCAAGAGAGGGAAACCATTCGACACTCGAGAATTGGTCCCGGCAGGTATTCCGTACAGATGCTCTCAGGGTTTTCCTAATATGGCGTTCAAGACGAAGGCCCGTATGCAAGAAAAATTTATAGGTATCCATCGTGAGGCCTATTTTGATAGGTATCATTATACCTATTATGATAGGTATTTTATACCTATCATGATAGGTATTCGTGAATCTTCCTGATGACAACCCCCTATCCATCGTCTCCTGCCCAGGAACAATGCCATGTGTATCTGCTCACATGACTGCCCAAAGTGTTGTGTGATGATTTAATGGTTTTAATCTGACCCCGTTTACCAGACTAGTGCTTGAATTCCGACTGCCGTGGCTTGATACAAAGAATTCTACGGGATTTAATTTATCTCAGAGTAACTGCGCTCTGCATAAGTTGCGACGGTTCGCATATTTAAATTGGGTTAATAAAATGCACTGCAATCCACCCTGGTAGCTCGTTATAAGCAGAATAAACAAGCTCTGGATCATAATAGATTGAAGTGATTCTTATACCTATCATGATAGGTATAAAATGTTTCTGCATATGGCAAACCTATCAAATTTATCATATGATACCCCCCAAAATAGCTATTTTATCGGTTTTATACGTTCTTGCATACCAACCGAAGTCAGGACCGGTTCGAGAATACTTTCTAGTCGCGCTATGGAGATATAAGTCCTGAACCCTCGGAGGTGAGGGTTCAAAGGCCCTTGGTCACGGTGCAGACTAGGAACCACGTGGAATCACGCCCCCTCGCCAAGAAAAAACTTCGGCCTGAAAGAATCGCCCGAATAAACTTTAGGCATCGAAGAGCACATGTTGCCGTGCCGTCCCTAAAGAAGCTACATCAACCAGCATTACCAAGAGACGGTGATGAGGTGACGTCTCAGGAAGATATAATTTCATGTTTCTGCCGAACAAGTCATCAAGGACCTATTTCGTATCCTCCTTGGGATTCCACGAAAAAGGTTTTCTTTCCTGGAATAGCACTCCTACTTAGGTAGTGATCCTAATCGCGCATTATATTTAGCAAGGTATTTCGCCTTCTTGATAATTTCACTGTCTTGCAAATCCGCGTAATTTGTCAGTCCTGAGGCATCAATAGACATTTCACATTCCAAGTTCGTACACTTCTCTCCAATAATTTTAACAGCCCCCTTCAATAATTTGATTCATCTCTGCCTCGAATTTCTTCTACTATTGACTTACTTTCTCTTCCAGTTCATCGAACTTTCCTTTCATGTTTTTTTTTTGGTGACAATGACTTAATCATGTAGTAAGGCACGCAGTTCCAGTGCAGATCGTTTTCTTTTTCATCGCGGCCTTGCCCAGGGGGCATATTTGATATCAGAAACTATTTCCTTCCGACACCATCTCCGATTCCTTCTCTCGGCTTCTCGGCGAGTGCGAGTTTCCCATTTGAGAAACCCCCCTCATGTTCGATTGACTCGGGCAGAGTTCCCGTCGACGTTCTCTTCGAAGACACGAAGGATTGCTCGGTGCTCAACGTCCATAGGGTTGGGCGGAGTAGGAGGGGCGCTTTACCACGCGCCCGCTCTCTATCACGGGCAACCGAAAATTCTTAACCAATGAAAATCGGTCGAGATCTTGGAGAAGAATGGGTAGCAATTTCGTTCGTACTTTAGCACGAACGCATTTTTGAGGTTGGGATATTAGAAACCTCGAAATCAAAGATCAGTTCTTAATGCCGCAGAAGACACTCGGTAAAACAAACGCTAGTGGTATCATATCTCCGTCTTTTTTTTCCGAAGTGGGGAAAGATGAATGGTTCATTGATGGGTGGAAGGGCTGCTGGACGTAGGCGAAAAAAAAAAAATCCTAATTGGACAAGCTCAGTCCAGTAGTTGGCTTTTTTTCAACAAAGAAGGGCTCTATTTTAGCACCTCGTAAAAAAAAAGCCATAGTATTCCGAATCTGGACTTCCATAATACATTTCCCGATCGAATTTTATTTGGGCACGAATCGAGATCTTGGAAGAGGTGGCGTTGGAGTGGTGAAGGATAGATATTGAGTGGGTCCTGGGAAAGCAAAAGACTTCCATCAGCTTTCTGTTCAATGCCCAATACAATTGCAGTACATGTGCAATTTTACAAACAACCATACGAGTCTTTTTTTTTATTAATAATAATTAAGTGGCCAGAAACGACTTCAGCTCGTATCTTGCCCATCGTGTCCTCGTATACCAATTTTCACCGAGATCGGATTTTTGTACGCACGCACTGGGTACTACAGGCACGCGAAAACACACACAGAGGAAGATGAGATGAGCGGCGTCTTTCCTTTTGAAAAGGAGGCCTAATACGTGGTAAAGATTGTCCAGAATCAGATCGTAGCCTACCGCCTACCGGAGAACGATGGAAGCCGTGAGGGAGCCAGAACTTGCAGCCAAGAGCGAATTCAGGATGGCGTTGGATGCTTGCTCTGGTTTCACCTGAAGACCACCGTTCAGGAACATGAGCCCCATCGTCAAAATGGCGCCGCCCAGCGCAGCCAACTGAAGGATTTTTATTTTGACTTCTCTCGTGAACGAGACGAGAAATACGAGGAAACGAGGAAGGTAGAAAACGAATTTACGGGCAAAGAATGACCGGGGATGTGTTGGACTCTGCCGGTCCGGGGATGGAATCTTCCCAGCCGCGGCCCGATGATCAAAGTCCCGGCCAATGCGACGGCTCCGGCCGTACAATGGAGACATCCGCTCCCCGCGGAATCGTGATGCGCCGTGTGATACAACCAGCCCTCGGGATGCCACGCCCAATGGCTCACGATGGGGAAGATGAAACCTGCAGAGAAAGAACCCGTCGCAGGATTTTCCCTCTTCGACGACGCGTTCCCGACGATGCGTCTTACCGGAGAGGAGAGGCGTATAGAAGAAAAGCGAAGTGAATTTGGTTCGCTCGGCGAGAGCGGCCGAGACGATGGACGAACACGTGACCGCGACACCAATGTGGAACAGCCGTTGACTCTTCGCAGCCGAGACGAATGCGAATCCAGATAGACCGAAAAATGGACTCCCGCTCCCCAAGGCGAACCCGTGTCCGAGCAGCCAGTAACTCAGGACTCCAGTACCTACACGATACGTCGCATCCTCGTCATCGATTCCCGTTTCGCGTTCACTCGGAGAGGAATACGATGTGACTGTAAATTCTAAAATCATTCATGCCCTTCGGACCGGTGTTGAGGACATTCTTGATGAGGACCGTGGTGGCATTCTTGATCCGCACGGCTCCTGCTTCCAAGAACCCGAAGCCCGATTGCATCACTATTCGGGAAAATTCGGATCTCTCATTTTCGCGATACCGCCGCGAAGTTCGAAAGACTCACGAGAGGATAGTGCTCACAGAGAAGAGGAAACAGGCACGAGACCGTAAACAGGACGTGCGTCGATTGGATTAGATTTTGAAGAACCTCTTGGATTTCATAGAGGTCGCTGTGGTCTTCCTGCTCTTCGTCTTCGCTCTTCCCAAACAAGTCCGCCAAGCTGATCACCGTCGTCGTCGACTCCTGGGCAAAAACATCGATGCACTCGTATGCTTAGCAAGAGCATCGACCCATCGGTAATCCTCTTCGTCGATGAGGATAGGACGTCGCGACGAAAGCGCATCCGTGATTCGTCATGCGCGTGAGCGAGATTCGAAAACGAAATGGGAAAAAGAGAAGTCGAACTCACAGCCATGAAGAGGGCCGGAAGGAAAGGAGTTGGTTTTCACACACGGAGTCACTTGTATATTCGTATCCACTCGACGTCACTAGATTTATGGAGACTTCTTCACATTCCACGAGTTTAAAATATCATTTTCCCCACCTTGGTCATCGAGGTCTGGATGCCCGAAATCTCAACGATCCTCTTCTGATCGTAACTCGAAAAACTTTCTCCTTTAGATTTGGATGTTTTTCACGATGGAATAGGAATAGGATGAAGCAGACGAGAAGAGAAAGAGAGTTCTAAGAAACTGGATGCGATCAGTCATTCGCGCGCTGACGTCAATGACTCTTCACCTTTTCTTCAAGGAAATTTATTCTTTGGAGATGTGATTCTCCGATGGCTTTCGGAATGTTCTCGTCCCGGTAGACAAAAACACCAAACGATCGCATAAATCTCACTGCCGAATCCCCAGGCCGGGGGAGTGTTTGCTTGCCGTAATTACCGGAAAACATCCGTGCGCAGTCTAAAATGGTGCACGCATTATTAATTGCAAGTTCTCCATCAGAAGTAGTACTGATGGTGATTCGGAAACTTGGATCGCTCGTTCCCTCGTGAAGTCCCAGCTCCCATGCAGCTATTCTCATACATACAAACATACATACATTTTCTTGGCCGCTTTTCCCAACTTAATGGAGTTGCGGTTCGAGCATTCCCAGGAGCGTCCTCCAGTGATCTCGATCCTGAGCAACAGACTCAAGCTCAGCTGGTGGGATGCCGAGCCTCTCGTGGCAAAGCCGAGCGACGTAATCACTCCACCTTGTACGAGGTCTACCGACAGGTCTTTTGCCGGTCATCTTGAGACTGCCCGAGCTCTCCTTTCCAGCACCTTGGAATAAACTTTACCAGGTATGCTGAGGAGAGTGATCCCACGATAGTTCGTGCACTCCCTCGAGTCCCCCTTCTTAAAAAGAGGAACCGCCACACCGGTTTGCCAATCCCTAGGTGCCGTTCCCGATTCCCAAGCAGCCTGACACGCCCTATAAAGCCACGAGCTTTATTCTTGGAGCGCAAGGCAAATCCCCTTACAAAACGTCCACCTCCCATGTGGGTTTGGAACCAGGTGGATGGTCCCCCTTGGCGGTATTTCCACCTGTTGGAGCAATGTCCACCTGGGGGAAAATCCACCCGGGAGGGAAAATCCACCTGGTTCGAAATACATGTGCACGAATGGCTATGTGGATTTCCACCAGGGGTCCCCCCTGGTGGGTCCACCTGGTTCCAAATCCACTCCCTGTCCACCTGGTTGTTTGACCAGGTGGATAGGGGGTGGACGTTTTGTAAGGGTTGTCGATACACTAATGGCATTTGATGGATCGCTGTAGCTGTATTCCCCGGTTTGAGACAAAACTCGATGAAAAATTGCCTCACTCTGGGAATACAACAGACTCTTCACGCACTAAGTTGCTACATCGCCAGCCTATCTCTCATTTACAATACTCGTCAGCTGAAGACTTGTACAACACTACCCAACGGTTTAATATATCAGTCCATAGCATTGGCAATAATATCTGTGATGCCGCCATACTCATGAAAAATTCAGCCCTGGAACTTAGTTATCACACCTCGTAAACGCCTGCTGAAAGTTTTGAAAGATCATTCACCTTCCTACAGCATAGGAAAGAAACTGAAGTAGCAGGAAAGTAGTTGAATTCCTACGAGGACGAGACTCGATCGAAGATGATCCTCGTCCGAGTCGACCTTTCGAGGTGACCACGTTGGAAACCGGAAACCCGAAACGTTGCTGTGGAGAAGCTGGTAATCGAGGACAGACGAAACAAAACGAGGGAAACGGTACAGGTCTTGGGTGTCTCAAAGGACAGTGTTCAAATCACTTTGCACGAAAAGCTGGGACTGTGGAAGATCTGTGCTCGCAGGGTTCCCAGAACGTTGTCCGTCGTTCAACGTGGTGACAGGGTCAGGATCGACGGGACAGCCGACAGGATTTGGACGGGTTCGGTGTCGATCTCTTCTCCGGACTCTTGCTCGCAGTTGGTTTCTGGGGATGAAACCTGGTTCGACAACTGGGAGCCAGAACCCAAGCAACAGTCGATGCGGTGGAAACAAGATTCTCCGCCACTCGAGAAGTTTCGGACTCGGGCCCGGGCTGGCAAAGTGATAGCGACGATTTTCTGGGACGATATGGCAGTCGTTCACCTCGACTACATGCCCCCAATGTTACGATTCCTGGTCGGCACCATGCTGCTTTACTTTGGAGATTGCGCGATTCATTGAGAAGAAACGCCGAGGAAAGCTGAGAGAAAGGTTATCATTTTGCACGACAATGTAAATGTTTTGCTCGTACAGCCAATGTTTCACAGGTCGTCCTCCACGACCCTGCATTCCAACAATTGCCGCACCCGCAACGTTCACCCGACCTGGTATCTAGTGACTTTTGCTCGTTTCCATATCTCAAGGAACATCTCCGTGGAAAGGGATTTTGAGATGACGATAGGGTGATTTGCGAAACTTAAAGGGTGTTTCGAAGGGTCGTCGAAAGACTGGTTTAAGGCTGACAGAGATGCTAAAGGGAAGCTGGACGAAGTGCATTGTTTTGAAGGGTGACTACTGAAAAATCGTATTGCCGACAAATCGCTACATTATGGTCTGGCTTAGAACTTACAGGGTACCCCTTGTACTTTCAGGAAAATTTTTGGAACAGCAAATCAGACCCAAAAATGGGCGAAGGTAGTGGTGATTTTAGCTTAACTACTGAATACTTTTAAAGCTAAACTTTATTTTCATCTTGAGTTCTAGATGTACCTGTGTCAGATTTCATTACTCAACTCCTTAAAATTTCCTCTTTTTTTTCAAACACACCCATCCATCCTGCCAGAAGGGTGAAATTAATCTCGCTCTCGCTAAAGCACGGCGCGGAAAGAAAGAAATGAGAATAAAGANAACACCTTTTAGTAAAGGAAGGGACCTTGATAAATCTTCCTTTGCACATGCAACAGAAACCGACTCGACACACATAAGTTAGAAGGCACATAAGTTACTCATCCGCCGCGATAACATCACGCATTTACCCTCTTTCTCTCGTTTCAATATATTGGCACGTTTGAGAATTCCTCTTGGAATCACCGGGTCAGTTCGGAAAATTTTTTATTAAAAAATTGTTGACACGTGAGCGCATCGTGGTCAGGCTGAAAACTTTTTGGGCATCCGTCGTATATTGTCGCTTACAAGCCTTTTTCACGAATCCTGGCTCCTTTCCGCCAAGTGTCGGCACATTCCAAGACCGGATATTCCGAGCCCGTTCCCTGTGTCGTTTGACCTCGGTACCGTTACTAGCCTGCCCTGAAAGCATAATGCCGAAAGTATGACCTATATGATATACGAGAAATCGAGGCAGGCCGATCGATGGGTCTGGACCGACGGGTCCGACACACCCATTAACATCGGATCGTTCGGACCCGGCAATCAACTTACACCTATAGCCATCCTTATGACTATTGCGGTTCCGATGATACCGGTCGACGATCGATCTGGTATGGAACTCCTAAGTATAAAAAAAATGCAGTTTTTGATCCGTCTCGGTCACCCTCAACAGAAGCCCCTCATGATAGGACCTGCGATACCATACCATATCTTACGAATCTCTCGGGGCTATTCCTGCGACGCGGACGGGCGAACCATCGAGGATTCCACTGCTGGGATTATCTTTATCATTCACCCATCCTCCGAAAATTTCAGGAAATAAGTTGGATTGCTGCTTCCGAAGGGGCGTCATGCCCCAACCCCGTGCCCAATCTCTGCTGAAAGTCCTTAGGTTTACGTCTACTCCGTCACGATCTACTAATACCCCTTACAAACAATTTTTACGTGAGGTAAAATTGGGACGGTGAAACTGAGGCAAAAAAATGTTGTTTTGTTTTTTCCCCCTCTCTCAACCTGTCAGAAGACCCTTCAAGTAAAGATTAGGGGGAAAAGCGGTTAAATATAGGTGAACGAGGAGGTAACGTTTTGTATCGGACGTCATGAAATTAAAGCGCTTAATGTTAGAAGGTAACAACCGTACTTCATTCCTGTGCCACTGATTTGGAAGGATTCAAGAGGCAGTCGTCAAATTAGAAATCAAGCAGATCTTAACATACTGGTCCCTGAAACTAACAAGGTTGCACCTCCAAATCATGAAGTTCAAAAATGTAGCAACCATATCAATTCTAAAAGCATTTAGCCTAGTTTTATGTCCCAGTCTCAAAACTTGAACACTTCAGATTATCCAGGAAAAACAAGCAGGGTCTTGTGATCTGTTTTTCAAACTGATCTGTTGATCAAAAGCTGCGCTTACGTGCCCACATTAGCATTCGCAAGGTATTGAGTCTTTCGATCACTTGCGAAAAAGCCGCACCGTCCAGTTTTCTTATGGGTTTAGATAAAGTTTCAGAACGTCATCTCATGCCTCATTTTGAGACGTTTCCGCAAGAAACGTTCTCCCCTATTTCTTTTACGGTATTTTCGAAGATTCGATTCAGTGGAATGAGACGTCCGAGTGGAAGAAGTAATGATTTTATTGCATTTCCCAAGGGTGAGACTAGTCTAAAGAGAGAAAGACCCGAGGTCCTTCCTGACCTTCAAGGACACAAGATATTTCAACGCCCTCGATGGATGAGGAATTGCCGAAACCTACGAGACGAATGTCAGTGTCGTTCGCTTCGCTCCTCAACTCCAAATTCCCTTGAAGGACGGTTACCAAATATTTGATCTTGACCTCACCATCCCAAAATAATCCCAGGTAACCTAGATTCCAAGGTGGGGACCAGGTGAGCACCACATCGTCTCCTTGTCGGGACCATTTCAGGTCCCTCACTTCCGCGGGTAATAAAGGCAAGTTTGTTGCCGCATCTTCTCGTCCTGATCGATCGATCTCTGATCGATTCCAGGTCATTTCGCTCAGAAGTGATCTGAGTGTGACCTCGATTGATTCAAGGTCCACATGAGTGTCCTGGTAGATCCGATACAAAAACTTAGGGTCCATGCAACACAATGCAGGTGGGACAAGAGTGGAATTCCGTACTTCTTCCTGTTCCTCCTCCGAAAGATGGACGATTCCACCTCGAGAGGGTTCTCGTCCTGGGTGAGTAACCGTATGTTCGGGGTTCTGGTTTGACCACGCACGATAGGACACCCTCCTTCCAGGTAGCCCAGCTAGGGTCTTATATGGAGTGTAATTGTCGGGGTTCAGGGCGTAGGGGAAGAGCTCGATGAGACCAGACCCAGGCTTCATAAAGACCGTCATGGCGAGAAGGGCACCATGGACACCCAACACCACCTTGGCACGAGAAACTGCACAGATGATCTCGTGCAGAGAATTCTCTTCGAGGCTCATGCTCGTCCACGAGGCGTTGACTATGAAGGTCTGTTCAAAGACCAGGACCAAACGTTCCAGAACTTGGGCTTCGTTGAGGATGATACGATTTCCCCTACGAGCCAGGAAGAGGATGTCCCATTGGGGATGTCTTCCACACCCGTCACAGACACTGGGGTATTTGGTGGCGCACATCCGATCCATGAGGTAGCTGGAAAATCGACGGAGATGTCCAGCGTTGAGTCTCGTGGTAGAAATGGGTGCTTGGGGATGTCGTCGTTTGAGCCCCACGTCGTACCATCCCACCCATTTCTCCAAGCCGATGTGACCCGACTTGAAACAATACAAGCAATCTCCTCTCATGAAGATACCGAAACCGGCTTCCTGGTTCGAGAGGAATGGGTGAAAATCCCCTGTCGTCACCGGGGGTTGGTCGTCGATGAAGACGAAGCCGAAAGTGCGACGAAAAGCGTCCACATCCCCAGCACAGATGCTTTCTAATGTAAAATATAACGGGATGATATCGTCGTGGAAGGAATGCTGTAGGTTGACAGGGAGGAGACGAGCCGCAATTTTCACTGGGGTCTCGATCCATTCCACGTCCCGGAATTCCTTCCTTATGGAGCCCCATCTCTCTGTCCTCAGCGTGGAATAGCCAAAATGAAAGACATTGTGGCCAGAGAAAGAACCCAGGTCCATTTCCAGGGTCTGGGATGATCCCAGACCCAGGAACGTGGACTCGCGTCCAAGGAAGGCAATAAATTTTCTTCGGGGGTTGAAACACAGGTTCTTGAAGGTGCACTGGCGGTTATCTTGGGTGTCTCCATAGCACCAGAATGAAGTGGACACGTTTGGGGTACTGATATCCTTCCCACTCTCTCCGTGTTCACTTTCGGGTACGTGTTGATGAGGGTCATGAATAAATTCTTGAATGAAGACCGTGGCAAGGGCATAGGAAAGGATGGACCACAGAGAGTAGCATGCTATCTCCTTCCATCCCATTCTATCTCCTTCCATCCCATTCTAAGACCGACACATCACTTTCTGTATCTGCATGGGAATTAGAAAATAAATGGGAGATGTAAAAATAAAAATCACTTCATTGGTACATTGCTTTGATATTAATGGGTGAATATTAGCTCACATAGAAGCGAGAAAGAACTAGAGAGTTCACATAGACAGGGCTAACTTTGGACTTCTCAGTTCACGAAATAAACTAAATGAATGTAGGTCACTGCGGCTCCCTTGTCTGTTCGAAGACTCTTGGGCAGAAGATGAGCGTCAATACACACAAGAAAATATAGAGACGTCAGGACGAGATATGGGGGAGAGTGCTAAGATGAAGGGTTCTGGAGCCCCAGGAGTAGGAATACTCAAACTTTGACCTCGTGAGCCACACGAAAGGTGAGTTTCTCCTACTCTAACTTACCCTTGTGCCTTTACTCTTTGTATGCAGTAGTTTAGGTTTAGCGCTGAAGTCCTAGCAGGGCGATAGAAATGACTTGGATATATTGCAGTTTGTCCACACTCCCACTTTCAGATTTTCAGAGAGCAACTAGGCTGTACATCTCTCCTTTCCACACTCATTCATTAAGTGACGCGAAATCTCATCTCCGTTTACTCGTCTAAGATTTAATTAGAGATGAGAATCCTCAAATTACTATTCTCAAGCCGGTCATTGCGATTGTTTATTAATGGCGTTTCATGTTTAGGGTTTCTTGCGTGTGATAAGTCAGACATACGCATGTACACGCATGCTTGCGCATGCCCTCTACATCAAAGGATTTTGACACCACGCAAGGCTTGCGTGCAGAATTGGGTTCGGTTCGATCCGGGACGTCTGCACGCATGCATTTCAGAGGGTGAAGATGCTTCTGGAGAGGAAGGTCGCCCAGTGCGTCGAAATACAGTCATATCTATTATGACAAGATGCACTGGTTTCTCAGCGTGGAGACGCAGGTACGAACGCACAGCAAGCACACACGCAGTGTGAGTTTGTCGCTTGCATCACTAAATTACACGTATCACGCGAAACAACCTTTACGAGTAGAATTGAGACTGACGGATGATGACGATGATACGGATCAAGGGAAAGAAACCATACATTCATGCATTTATAAACTGAAGTAAAATTAATGAGATGTATGCGTCTAACCAGTAAACTGAACTAATTTCATGATGAACTGCTAAGTTATTTTTACACTGGATTAATCTGATTCATATGGGAGCTCATTATGAACTTGGTTCTGTTGCTTACCACTCTTTCGCATCTAATTTAATTACTCTTACTTAGTACTCATAATTATTTCTTTGCATGATAACATAATTTCGTTTGCATAGATCCATTCGAAATCTTCACTCCATTTATCCATGATTTATGCATAAAATTATGCTTGCATCACGATTAGCAACATTTACCCCTCTGCTGATGATAAGACTCATGAATGATCCCCAAAGATGCTATTGAATAGATAAGCTATAGCTTCAATGTACTATGTAGCAGTACTTGCACGCTGAGCACTTGCAGTTTTTCATGACAGCTTATTTATTACTCATTGCAGCTTTTGTACTCGCATGCCACATATGGTTCGACTTGCAAACTCGTCTACATGAAGCAAATAAAGGGGGAAAAATATTCTGCACAGGCTTTCTTCCTGAGAAGTCATCCTAAAGTCTGTGGTTTGTGATCACTGCCCTCGAACACTCGCAGATTTACAGCGAGAATTTAACGTGCATATGACACCATCACGCAAGACATATTGCCAAACGTTCAGGGTAGGCTCAAGGTAATTAATCCACTTGTCTTATGGCATCTGTGACATCATGGGCGTCCGCTGGTTTATTCCCAGGGAGGAGGAGGGGGGGGGGGGCAAGGCACAAGAGTGGCAGTGCAGATGCACACACAAGGGTGTTTGTATCTTTTGTAAAATGCTGAAAAATTACAAGATTTCTGCACTGATTAGCTGAAGGTACTGCACAATACAGATAATTATACCAGTGACAACAATTATTTATTAAAATTCAGTATAGCAGCTTTAAGAGTATACAGTACGTTTCAGTACAGAGTACCTAGGTAGGCCCCGATTAAATCACAATATTTATAAGAGAAAAGCAAGCGCTTCTCCAATGCAGTAGTTGGTAGGAGCAATAATTTGCAGTCCTATGTCTATACAGATTAAAATCACAGTTACAATTAAGTAAATACGAGGGAACAATGATCAACGGTCATGGATGTTGGCACATTGAAATCGCATTCTGTTGCGAATGTGAATGTGAATGAAGTAAACCAGTGCACTTGATATTCGGGTCGTGTTTGAATGGTGAACTACAAATCAATATCACAAAATAGTGTGCCCCAAGTTGAGGAATCTTACTTGGGCCTCAAAGTACCCCTTACCCGTAGACCTATTATGCAACTCTTGTCAGACAATGAGACAGCCCAGCAAACAATTTGAAACACATAACGTTGAATCAACGTTCGTAACCTTGTTTGCTGGGAGGGTCTTCTACTCAAAGAGGAACAGCAGGCGCCTCGGTTATAAAATAACAAATATAACTGCAAAAATGTAACCCTGAGCCTCTAATTACGCCATAGAGGTGCCTTCTTTAAAGCTTTTAACAAACTGGACAAAAGTACCAAGGTGCAGGCATAGGCTCACTCGACTAGGGCAGGCCTACCGTAGGCCAAGAGCGAACGACCTACAACGAAGACATGAAAGTCATTCGGCCTGGGATACTTGCCTCCCATATTGTACGACAACTTAGCACTACGAAAGTACTGTACGGCGAACGAGGAAACTTGATTTTTCATGTATTCTTACACACACCATGGACTCGCCTTGCCATGGGGAAGTACGCGATGTCATGTAGAGCAGTAGTGTTACCGGAGCCTCTGGACCAGATGGGTTGAGTTGAATTTCTAATTCGTTAGACCTAGTAGCGTCATCTTTTGGTAGGAAGAATAAATATACTTTGCTTGATAAGATCGGAAACGATATTTCATATTGCACAGCAAGATTAGTCTAAATGGTGCTACGGAAGAAGAGATTTCCACATTAAGTACATTAAATTTCTTTCTTTAGTACTATCAGTAAATTGCCATGCCAGATTTCCAGGGGGGGGGGGGGGGCAAGTGCCCCCCCCTTGCCCCTTAGAGCAGACGCCCATGTGTGACTTCCTATACGTGGGGAGGTCGGAAAGTTCGCGGATTTTCACATTTTTCGGCGCCATTGAGTGATGAGTGATTGTGGCCCATTCAATTGATATCTCTTGAGCCCTTTCGACATTTTTTTTAGAATTTTTAATACCGTACAGAAAGATGGAGACCCGTCAGAAGCGAGACGGTGCTGTGAATGTTCGCGAGACTGAAATTTTCGGCGGAACAAAAACGAGTGATCCTCCTCTACCATTTTCGGAGCGGTTTGAAACCGCAACTGGCGTTCGAAGAGATTATCAACAGTGATTATCTTCCTGAAGTTTGGCGAATTTCCGTCTTCAAAATCCTCCAGGAACTTCTTGCAGAAGTTCACGCTGGCCTCCTTCTCCTCCGGTTTCAGAAGACGTGGAACCCAACGAGCAGATTTCTTTGAGTAGTCAAGTTGGTCATGAAGAATGGACGAAATCGACGTTTTTGAGACTTGAAAGACGTCGGCAAGTCGTTTTGTGGTCGCAGAGGGTTCTTCCAGGAATTTTGCCACGGCAGCAACCATTCCGTCGTCTGTCGAAGTTCTTGGACGCCCACTTCGTGGATCATCGGTGACTTCAAAATGACCAACTTCGAATCGTTGAAACCACTTGAAGACCATGGTAGTGCCTGGAGCATCATCCCCGATGTTCTTCTTCATCTCTTCGAACGCCTGTTGCGGTTTCAAACCGCTCCGAAAGTGGTAGAGGAGGATCGCTCGTTTTTGTTCCGCCGAAAATTTCACAGTCTCGCGAACATTCACAGTGCCGTCTCGCTTCTGACGGGTCTCCATCTTTCTGTACGGTATTAAAAATTCTAAAAAATTGTTGAAAGGGCTCAAGAGATATCAATTGAATGGGCCACAATCACTCATCACTCAATGGCGCCGGAAAATGTGAAAATCCGCGAACTTTCCGACCTCCCCACGTATATGCGGTGTATATACTCCTCTTTTCGACTTAATCGACAGCAAGGAGGGCAAATTTCAGAAGATAGAACTACTGGTGTGGTCTTCTCTGGTGCAGAGAATATTCGCCCTTCCTAATTTTCTTCAAGTCATCGAGGTTATACGGAAAGTAACTCCATAGTGACGACATGAATCGTAATTCTCAACGTGATTTCATGCAGGTGATGTAAAGTGAAAGAGAAAGAGCGAGAGAGAGAGAGAGGGGGGGGGGGGGAGGGCAGGGTAAGTCTGCAGCAAGGCATTGCTGGTGCCACTGAAATTTTTTAAGTTATGGGCGTGAATGCTTCTAAAGGTCATGATCCACTTAGAATGAAATTACCGAGGGGAAACGCTCTCACTACACTTCATTCTACACAAGTCACATGAAAGAAACACAAATGCACGAAATGTTGGTCGACGGATGCTCCATCCTGGAAGAGCAACTCGACGCCACGGTAAGGACGGGAGACTGAGAAGAGGGGGCAATGACCACAGCCTCGCCGGGGGCATTTTCTCCTGTTCTTCCTCCCTGTTTTCTTAATTCCATCTTCCCTGCTTACCATCCCCTTACGTCATACGATCGGGCGCATGGCATCAATGAGGTTTCCAGGTGATGTTGGAGAGGCCTAGATATTCCCTCTTCAGGCTGCTCCCATCCGCCCATTTAGAGTCCAGGTAATTATCGTCCTCGTCCGCCTCCAGTCTCTGCATAGCCAGGGCCAGAAAATAACGATCACGGCCAGATGCATAAAACTCATTCATCGTGATCATCCATGAATTGATTTGAAAAGCACTTCAATGCTTCATTCGGAGGCAAGGCGTTGATCGCACGCTTTGACCGATGCGACATCCAAAAATTATTGTGCTGGAGCTGGTAGGCCTGGCTGTTGTAGATTAGGGTGACTTTAAATACAAATAATAATAAAATATTAGAACCGCATTTCAGCTGGGAACCTCCATTTTCATGGTCACGGTTGGCGCTGCTTGAATCTTCAGTTAAAGTGATAGATTTGTCACAATATGACGTAACAATTAAAAAGTTACGCGTGACGCAGCAGAAAATGCAATGATATTCCGGCTGCCCTGTTGCCCCGTTGAGATGCAACGTAACGTAGTTAAATTTATGGTATTCAACATCATTCCCTTATTTTCATAGAAATTGCTAAGTAATGGAATAAAGTAGAACATGGGAACATTTCCGTTACTACTCGTATACTACTCACTCTAAGCATGACTACGATCTCTTGAGGAGCTTGCATGGGCGATCATCGCGATCAAGAAATACATGGTTTACAGTGTCTCAGAATTCTGAAATCATAGGGGAAGGGAGGCGGTAAGCAAGACCGCCGCTGCCCGCCACTGGCCGGATGAGAACTTCGCACAACGCTGGATCGGTAGACAGGATACGACGGCGATGCCTCACACGTCCCCCGGACCTCACGCAAATGGTTTTCAAAATTTGCGACATTGTAGAGACCAAGATTTTTGTCATATTTTTGTCACCCACCAGCGTTTGGCGACATCAATCCGGCAACGCTTCAAAACATCCGTCGGGAGTGGCAGAAGCGTTTGCTGTTGTGCATACGTCAGTGGATAACACCACGAACATTCATAGACTCTTACCATCTACAGGTAGATGCCTTTGATTCTAAAATTGAGACACACTGTATCAAACTCAGTATCAAACTATAGGCCTACTATTACCTGACTCCCAGGCGTTGTACAAGGTCCCTCCTTAAGTGCTTGAACAATATTGGGTGACATGCACCACATCGGTTAAGGGGCTAAATTTATCTGATTCCAGGCAAATATGTTTAAGAATGAGTTGAACTCGTCGTTAAATTGTTTTGTGACATGCACCAAATGCAATCAGTTTACTTCTCTCTTAAACTAATCTTGAAAGATAAACTTGTTCCATATCGGGTGACACGCACCAGATCAGTTTAAAGTTAAACGAATCTGGTGCATGTCACTCAGAAGGTTTAACACTCTAAACAGATTCTCAGAGGAAGTTCAGTATGCTGATTTGCCAGAGTGAGCCTCATTTTTCTTGCCTCTCATCATCTAGCAACGGTGGAAATGGAAACTAATGAGGAGATAGAGGTTTTTAACGTGATCCTGAACGAAACTGTCAAGAGGACGATCAGAGATCGGCTTAAACCTCTTGAATGGTTCAATGGAGACGAATTACGAACAAGGATTCATCTTTCCACGGACACCGTCGCCGACTTGGTGCGGACAATGGAGCAGCAGCTGGCGCACAATACCCATCATTCTCTTTCCAAGTGCTCCCATACTGCCTTTAAACGTGTTTAAATCGTGGATAAACGTGTTCATGGAAACTAATCTGATTTTCAGTGGTGCATGTCAAAGGTAAACACATTCCTAAACATGTCTCAGCAAACGTGTTAATCTTGTCTTTAAATTAATTCGATTCCTCAATTGGTGCATGTCACCCATTGAATAATGATTGGAATCGGATTAGATTTCAAGAGATGTTGTGGATTCATCTCAACAGGCTGATTGAAAGAAAAAAAAAACCCACACAGCTGATATCTTCGATTGTCGGAATAAAGAAGATAATTTCCTGAAACTTCGTAAATGTCTGGACGTTCAGCTAACTTCGTTCTTGATATCAACCAAGTTAGCTCATTAAAGTTTGCTTATCTTCACTCGTTCATTCGGCACATGGCCAGAAAAACTCCATCTTGGCAATCGGAACATTTCCGCATACGAAAGGAGTCCAAAACGTTTTTAGCCTCTCTGACTTCCAGTGAGCATTTTAGTCAAGTTTTCTTGAGCATGCATGCAGTTCTTAAGGCTAGGAATGAACATCTCATGCCATTTTTTGTCGTGTTCTCTAATGTTTGGGTATGTATGAATCTGAATGTAGGGTAATATATCTGACAAATATCGATCATAGCTCTGCAGTGAATTCATGCAGTGCTGTGATCGAGTCTTTCTATCATCGAGGATGTCTATAGGGCCTTCTTAACCCTTGAACTGCCAACCGTCGAGAAAATCGACGTAGGTAGGATGCCGTGCTGCTTCTGGCAGTTCCAGGGTTAAGGAGATACAGGAAGACAATTTTGAAAGCTTGCCTAACAAGTTGGTGGACAAGTCATTATGGTAGGCCTTCTGTGGGAGACAAAACGGCTATAGTAGCCCACCATCTGATAGTACTAAATATGTGGGAACACATAGGGGGCGCAATTGACTTGACTTGAGATTTCGTCAAAGTTGAGCCTACATGACATACAGCAATGTGTTTCTGGGATATACAGGAGCCCAGCAATGTCTTAAGTGAAAATTTGAGAAAAACTAGGCGAAAATAAGGTACATCATTTGAGCATTAGGCAAACTTCACGATAGTGGATGCTTATCGATGTTCACTTGTGAATATCGATTATAATACACATTTGGCGAGTTGAGCAAAATTTGTCAGCTAATTATATTCATCAGACACGCTGACCTTAGGTAGAAAAACACAACTTTACAATGAGATAAGAACGACAAAATCTTCCTTCATTCTCCGATTATTAAGTTCAATGTTTGGATCGGAAAACCAAGAGGCATTATGCATTAATGCACAATAAAAGTATTGGCTCTAAATGAGCAAGTGGAAGAAGACAACACTTTTTGGGTCCCCTCACAAATCAGGAGTAGGCGCGACGTTACAACTAACATATCTACTCGAACATGGAGAAACTGAAACTGACATCATGGAACTTGCCACTGATAATGGATCACAAGAAACTAACCCTTTCTTTCCTATATTCTTTTATCGCTCATTCGTACCTGGTTCAGGTGCGAATTTCACAGGTATTGAATTTGCAACACTGCAAAAAAAGACTTTATGGACAGTTGGTCGAATATTAAAGCTGTTTTCTGCTGATCAGGAACCACATCAACCGGTCAACAGAGGGTAAGACAGCAGTGGGCTAAAATGGACTGACGAGGGACCAGTTTTCGTCGACTGAAATCGGGACTAAAAGCAACCAGCGGCGACACTGTTCGAATCACAAGGTAAGATAGTACGACGCACTCATTTCCACAAGGGGCCCAAACCCCACAAACTGCCTTTCCGGCAGCACTCGAGGTCTCCAACCGATGCGGCATACTGGCAAAGAGGTATACTTGAGCAATGTGCACATCACGTTACTTACTGAAGATATCAGTAATAGAAACGCTTCGTTTGCAGTCCATCTTCTGCATGTGGCAACAATTGGTAAAGTTTGGATTACTCCTTCAAGGATTGCAATTTCAGGTGCGGCCAGGGTAATAAGAATCACAGAGATGACGTTTTTAAAGGCAAATTCCCTTACAAAAACTTTTCCCTTAAGGTAATATTGGGACGGTGAAACTGAGGTTAAAAAAAAAGGGGTTTTCCCCCGTCTCTCAACCTGTCAGAAGACCCTTCAGGTAAAGATTAGGGTAAAAACGGTAAAATTGGGACGAACGAGGGGGTAACGTTTTGTATGGGTTTCTACATGTATGGCTCACGTTCACGCACATGAATAAGCACAAAAATCGGAATCTCCCTTCATTAGTCGAGCTTTCCAAATCCAGAGTGTCATCTGTTTCCATTCCGTAATTCCGAAGATCATCTATTTCATAGCACAGACCGACCCGAAGCAAAAACAATAGAACCGATTTTGACTAGTGAGGTACGGTACCGTTGGACTCATCCTGACGATGGTGTGCCTTATGGGGTCTCAAATACAGATACAGTACTGAAAGCATTAGTGTTTAATATCCAAAACACACAGACAGACTTAGAACAAAAATGAAAAAATCGATTTCAGTAGATGAAATACCGATGGATTCGTCTGGATGATGTCTTGGTGTGCCTTTTGGGGAAGCTAAATAATGGTTTTGTACTGAATATACATAAAAAGTTATAAGAGGAAGAACTACTGGACTAATTTAGACAACTGAGATACCGTTAAACGTGCCTTTATGCCACGGTGAATCTTCCCAGGGACTCAAATACTGCTTAATTACTGAAAGCATAAAAAAAGCAATACTAATCAAAATACAGACAGAGCTAGAGCAAGAACTAGCATACTAATTTCAACCAAAGAATTACCTATACTCATCTCGATGCCAGGGTATGATTTCAAGGGAACCCAAGCACTTATCTAGTACTCAAAGTATTAAATAAGTGAAAAGTCTAAAAATTTGAAAACATTCTGATCAAGCTAGATCAATAAATATTGAACCGATTGTGACAAATTAGACACCATTGAACTTGTCTTCCTCTGATGGGGCACTTTCTGGGCTCTCAAATACTTGCCTGTTACGGAAAAGTACTAAGAAGTACTTAGAATTCATAACACTTAGATAAAGCTAAAATAACAAAAGACAACTGCCAAGCGATATCGAAACCTGAGGAACCGTTAAATTAGTCTCTTTCAGGAAATGCCTGCTGGGGTCATCTCAAATACAGCTTCAAAATGAGAAGAGGTCATCTGAAGCATCCAAACCACAAATGAACCAATGGATTCCGGAAATTGAGGGGGGTCGACATTCTTGCTCGCAGTGATTGAGTGAAGGTGTCAGGAATCAACCTTCATTCAATGCAAGTGAAACGCAGCAGCTAATGAATGCAGGGATAGACAACATGTTACATCTAGGTTCAGATGTGATGCAATCCGAAAGAGTGGGGGTGAACGAGAAGAGACTGCGTGTGATCAAGTATTCCTCGCCATCACATGAAAACTGCAGAATCCCACTCATGCATAGTTCACAAATTCCAGTGAACAAGGGGGGGGGGGGGGGGGGGGGGGGGAAAAAAA